AGCTGGATGCTTCACTCTCAGCTCTAGCCCTCTGTGTGGCTATATCCTTATACATGGGCTGAAGTGTCCTCAGTTCTCACCACACTACAGACCAACCAGCTCTTCCGTTTCTCTCTCTCATCTCCAGGTCAATGGGATTCCATCGACTGGGGTTGAACTCAGCCCATTTCTTCATTGCTGCCTTTCCCCTCTTCCACTTACCAGTAGACCAATGTGGTCACCAGCAAGCTTACAAGCTTGTTTGTTTGTGTGTTCTCTTTGAGTTTCAGTCTTAGATGGGAGTGTGTCCTGAAGGCACTTGATTGCTTGCCTTGATGTCTTCCTGGGGAACAGCTTGCTTATTCTTGTAGTAGCCAGTCATGCTGATCTTTTTGTTTTGGGTTTTTCCTGATGATCTTTCTTTGAAAATGTATCTTCTGTCACTGTAGCTGTTCCAGACTGGTCTGCTTGTCCTTTCTATTGGGAATGTCCCACCTCATAAGGTTCTGTATTCTGCAAAGGCTTTGCAAGAGGCCTATTTCACTGGGCAAGTTCTAGAACCCCTTTTAGGTAATCCAATCCATTACAGGCTGAAGACGGGCTCATAAGTTTTCTCTAATCATGTTTCCCAAGATTCCTTTCTATCCCACTCAAGTGTCTATTTTATAATAGTAGACAAGGGAAACCAATATTCATAAGACAGTCAAGCATTTTAGTATTATTTCCCCTCTTCAAGCTATACCTAGATCCCTGTATACCCAAGGTTGAGCATGCATCACTATTTACCTCTGTTCCACTTAGGCCATGCAAACCTGTCTCAGTGTTCCCCTATCTTTTCCTTCTGCTTCCTCCCACTTCTTGTATCACCCTCCCCAACTCCCAAACTAAACCCCTCACCCCAACCCCATTGTGATTACCTTATATTCCATTAATTCTTCCCTCCATTTAAGACAGTCTATTTTATCCTGTAATCTACCTAACCTTCCTACCACCTGGATCTCTGTTCCTCTGTGTTTACCTTCTTTCACATTGTAATTGTTTTGATCATAGACCGACCTTCCAGATCCTCTGTTCTTATTTTTTTCTGTTCTTGACTCTTCCATTTGTTGATTCAGTTCAGGTTGATGCTGGCATGTACGTCATTCTGTAGTTGTTGTCTGTTCTTGTTGGTTCTCAGTCCACAGAATTTCCTTTAGGATGTTTTTCATAGCAGGGTTGGCTTTGGCAAAATCCCTTAGCTTCTGTTTTTCCTGGAATGTTTTGATTATACCATCATATTTGATTGACAGCTTTGCTGGGTAGAGGATTATTGGCTGGCAGTTTTTTTTTCCTTTCAGGGTTTTATATATCTCTCCTCATTGCCTTCTTGCCTGCATGGTTTCTGTTGAGAGATCCGAACTTAATCTGCTTTGCTTGCCTTTTTAGGTTACACTGCTCTTTTCCCTAGCTGCTTTCAGAATCCTGTCCTTATCTTTGATTTTGGAGAGCTTGATTATCATATGTCTTAGTGATTGTCTTTTAGGGTCCGATGAGCTTCTTGAATGCTTATCTTTTCACTTTTCAGGATGTTAGGAAAATTTTCTTCCAGCATCTCTTCAACTGTCTCCTCTGTGGATTTGTGTGATTCTTCCTTTTCAGGAATGTCGATAATTCTTAAATTAATCCTCTTCATGTTGTCCAACATGAATCTCAGGCCTTATCCTTTTTTATGTTTGTTCTTCTATCTTAGTAGTGTTGAGAGATTTGGCCTTATCCTTTTTTATGTTTGTTCTTCTATCTTAGTAGTGTTGGGAGATTTATCTTATAGCTCACTAGTTCTGGCTTCTATCTCTTCAATTCTACTCCTTTGCCCTTTCAGTGTATTGTCTGTCCATTTCTAATATTCTGTTATTAATCATCTGGACCTCTTTCTTGTAGGTTTTGAATTGTTTCCAATGCTGTATCTATCTTATTTGATTGTTTCTGTAGTGCTTTCCTGACTTCTTCCTTATTTTTCTCAACTCCATTGTACAATGTTTTGATACATTTTATAATCATTTTTCTGAATTCCTTCTCAGGCATTTCCAAAGCCTGACCATCTTCCAGTATACAGTGTAGGTCTACTTCCAGCTCATTTGCCTCACTCACTTTATCTCGTTCCTGGACATGTGCAGATATGGTCATCTGCTTCTGTTTTTTGGGCATATTCAGGAATTATCTGTGGCCTTAATACTTAGATGGGTGTGTATTTTGTTATTTTTTATGCTTTCTGATTGCCTCTAGGTAGATGTGATCAGGAAATGGGCTTCCCTTTTCACTCTTCTTCCTGAGAAATTTCAAGAAGTCACTGCTTGTCATTTTGACATAACTTAGGATTTAATTTTCAGCCTATTTCCTTTTCAGTCTGCTTGTTCCACTCCACAATCCCCGTTCAGTTCTTTTTTCTAGTTATGAACAGTTCAGGGCTAGCTGTGGCCATTGGATTTTAAGTAGAAACTGTCTCTTAAATTTCTAGGAGATCTGTGTGCATGCGTTGTTACTCTAAGTTTTTAAAGAAGCTCTGGTGGTGTAGTGGGTTATGCATTGGGCTGATAACTAAGGTCAGTGGATCAAACCTCGGAAGACAGAGGAGGCTGTCTGTTCCTGTAAAGATTTCAGAATTCCTATGGGACAGTTCTACTCTGCCCTACAGAGTTGCTATGAGTTGGAATTGACTTGGCAGCAGTGGGTTTTTGTTTTAAGTTGTGAATATATGTGTATACATATAAGAGCTTCAAAAAAATTCATGGAAAAATTTCATTATCTTTCAGTTCCATTTTGTCATGAACTTTTGAAGCCCTCATGTATACGTTGCTTTATTAACAAAATACATTAACAACTTTCAAATTGAGACATATGGGAAAATGGGAAAAATGAGAAATGTGAAAATATCCTGAGAAAAGACTTGATAGCCATATTACGCATTAATATTATAATCATTTCTACTTTTCTTCTACTAGATCATATAGTTTTTCAAATGAGAGTAATGTGAATTCCAAGTACTGAGAAAGTAATTTTATGATGTTGTTGTTGTCGCTAAGTGCTGTTGAATCACTTCTGGCTCACAGCTACCCTGTATAGGGTTTTCAAGGAGCGGCTGGTGAGTTTGAACTACCAATGTTGTTGTTTTAAGTCTTATTCTATGACAAATGCCTTTCAAATGTAACTGATCATTACAAAATATGGCTGCTTTATAACTACTAGTACATTGGTAAATATGGAATGATAGTTGTTCATTCTGATGATTAGAAATTCAACTATAATTGGTGGTAGTGGTGGTTGTGTGTTGTCGAGTCGGTTCCGACTCATAGAGGCCCTGTATAGGGTTTCTGAGGCTGTAAATTTTTACAGGAGTAGAAAGCCTCATCTTTTTCCTGTAGAGTGATTGGTAGATTCAAACTGCTGACCTTGCTGTTAGCAGCCCAGCTCATAATCCACTATACTACCAGGGTTCTTTCTAATAATAATTAGCTCTTTATTAACAATGAAAAGGAACTGTTTAATGACTTCATATTATAAGCACTAGACTGTGAACCTCAGGGCCTGAGATTCAAGTCCACCAATTGCTCCATATGAGAAATATAAGACCTCCTGCTCCCTCAAAGACTTAAAACCTCGGAAATCCTATAAAGGGTCGCTATGAGCCAGAACCAACTCAACGGCACTAAGCAACAACAATATGACAAACAAAGGGACTCCTGATGTAACACTGTAGGATACGCACTGGACTGCAAACCTACCAGCTGCTTCTCGGAAACCCTATCACAGGGTCGCTGTGAGTCCAAATGAACTCGAAGACTCCTAACAACAACAACAATCATAGTAGTTGCTTAAGGAGCACTGGTGGGTGCAATGCTTAGTTAAGTGCTTGGCTGCTAACCAAAAGGTCAGTGGTTTGAAACCACCTGCAGTTTGAGGGAAAAAGACCCGCAATTTGATAAGGTAAAAGCTGCCCTATGGGAAATTTGACTCTGTCCTTTCTGGTTGCTGTGAGTCATGAACAACCCCAGGACCCCCAGCAATACTGGGTTATAAAATGGTCATCTAGATCATGCAGAAACATGTATATGCTAAATTTTAAATTATCATTAAATTAGAAATGCAAAACACAAAGAAATCTCAGAAGAATATCTGTATGGACCCTGATATCTATATGGAAGCTGGTTTGTGAAAAACAGATTCTATTGTTATGGAAATAAATCCTTCAGTCTAAAGTTTCAAATCAGAAGACAAAATGCTTTAATAAACAGGCATTCATTTAATGTTTTTCTAGTTTCTCTTGAAAAAGCTATAGATTTGTATCACTTACCTCCATGCATGGCATTCTACCAGAAAAATTAGCAGATGTGTAACCAAATGTGACATTTGCTATAAGCTTAAGTCCCAGCTGACGGGCATCGAGCATTCGTGAAAGGACTCTGTCTTGCTTGTACGCTTTCATTGACTGCTTCACCATGAGCCTAGTCTTTAGAATATCTTCCAGCATTTTTGGTAGCACACCTTTTCTTACTGAAGGCTATTATAAAGGGAAAAAGATTATTTTAAATTTCTCAAACTTTATAGATTCAGACAACTAAGAAGGAAGCACAAAGTTTAACAATGGCCAACTATCAGGAATTGAAACATGCTAACAGTAGAGTGGCCATAGGACCAGTGCTCATCAATACAAAATCATCTTATTTCTTCTGAAGAGAATTCCTCTCCTAAAGGTCCTGTAATGTTTATTAATCTAATGTAGCACTACTAAGAAACCTCCATGGAGGAGGATGTCAACTTGTCATAAAGGCACCATACAACATGTTTAGAGGGAAATTTCGTTCAAAGCTTTGAACCAAACCCCCAATCTTTCAGAAAGACACATGGGAATGTATCACTTATAACAAACCTCAGTTTTAAAGATCTCATCCTAATGACCCCACACAGTAATCTGTATGGAACTCCATTTATCTACCTTGAAAGAATGATGAGCTGGGTTGACTCTGCTGACATTCAAACCTGCAGTTCCAGGGACTCTAGGTATTTCAAATCTGATGCTTAGACCACTAAGCCATCCCCTCCGGCCTATATTTATTAGCAATCTGGAAGAGGGGATTAATAGTAAGGTGATAAAATGTGCCGATGCCAAAAAAAAAACAAAAAACCATTTGTATTAATCAATACTAGGGAGAATTCATGAGAACTCCAGTAGGACTGAAAACCACAAAACAGTATTAATTTTGATGATGATTCACAGACATGTGCAAGGTAATGCATGTTGGACTGAACATTAAAACCTCAGGTATAGGATAATCACACTTTTGACTATTTTAAGAAATCTTATTTCCATTAAGTTTCATGCTGGGTCAAAATGTAGATGCAAGTCTTTTTTTTTTTTTTTTTTTTTCCAAATCATGGTTAAAAAAAGTATGATAAAACATTTGCCAATTCAACAATTTTTACATGTTCAGCAACACTGATTCTGTTCATCAAGCTATGCAACCATTACCTCATCCTTTTCCAAATTATTCTACCATCATTAACAGAGACTCAGTACCCTCAGGCAATGACTTCCTCATAGATGCAAGTTTTAAAAACACTGTTAAAGACCAGTAAGCTGCTAGATATGACACTAAAAACATATTTTAACATTGAATTAATTCGAAGTACCTTTTGAAACAGCAACAGTGTTTTTAGATGTAATATAAACAGACGAGGGGCCAAATATGAAGAAATGTAGTAAAATGAAAACCGATAGCTACATGGGTAGACTTTTAATAAATTATCCATTTCCATGCCTCCATTTGAACTCATTTACATCAATCTCTGGAAATATAACATTTCAAAAATTTCCAGAAAGGAATATACTATAAAATTTCTGATTAATTTTTTTCTCATATCCTTGTACACCATGTAGGATAAGCACTGGACTGCTAACTGCAAGGTCGGCAGTTTAAAACTACCAGTTGCTCTTTGGAAACCCTATACAGGGTCACCATGAGTCAGAACCAACTCAACAGCATTTAACAACGATAACAGCAAATTCATATATGAGGTTTTCCCAAGTTTCTTTTAAAGGAGATAAGGCAGAGAAAAAAGGGGCCCTATGAGTAAGGATATTGGAGTCCTGGTGTGGCGCTGTGGGTTAATGTGCTGGACTCCCAACTGAAAGGTCAAGCAGTTTGAATATACCAGTCGCTCTTCAGGAGAAAGGTGAGGCTTCCTAATCTTGTAAATATTTACAGCCTCGGAAAGGACACCATCACAACTATGAGTTTGGGTGGTGGTGGTGAAGTGCACTTGAGTAGGTTCTGAACTCAGCAACCCTGTATAGGGTTTTCAAGGAGTGGATGATGGGTTTATACTGCTGACCTTGAGGTTAGTAGTCCAGTGCTTATCCTAGAGCCACACCAGGGCTCATTCTTAAAAATGTAATCAATAAATATATTAAGTATATCATGATGTTCAAGATGGTTTTAATTTAAAAAAAAAAAAAATCTGTAAAAAGAATTATGAGAGTTCATGCAATAATGTTACTTAAATGCTTTAAAGAAACATCTCTGTGATCATTTAGTAGCTATTTCAATCTGCCAGGTTCTAATAGAGGGCAAAAGGTATACATGTACATTTATTTCTTTTAATGTTTCATTAATTAAAAATTGACGATTAACAGATTTCAAGTCCAAATTTAAGCAAAACAAGACAACTTTTTAAAAAGTGATTTCTTAGATGCTTCCTTTTGACTTTTTCAGATATATATGCAAGCAAATCTAGTGTTTTAATTTTCTATTATATGTCAAACACATCTAAACCACCAGCTCTCCAAAAGTGAAGCCATAGTCGGCATCTTTCATTTACAAGAAAGCATTACCTTGACAAAGGCTACTCCATTGGGGGATACTGTGATATCATGTCTAATTTGGTAAAGTAAATCTGGAGGTACTCTTAGAGAAGTACAGCCAAATTTGAACTCATCATACCTGTAAGAAAGAAAACATTAAACAGTTTCTCAAATCATAGAATACTTGCTTTAATCTATTTTTCAGAATTCATTTTCAAACATCTAAACATGAATTCATGTGCTCAGTAATGTGTTTATTTGCCTAATTACCAAAAACAGGTTTTCATATATTATAACTTATTAAAAAGAAGCATTTCTTAAATGATAGTATCCTAAATCTATACTAAAATTTTGATTTTATCCAAAATCTACACTAAAATTCAAAATTTCAATCCAACATGTGACATTTTACACTGTTCCTTAAATAAAAATGCAAAGTTAAATAAAAAGATTGTAAATAATCGCTTCAAATTCCTATTCTTAATAAGATCATTTTTGCAAATGTTTACTATAAAGGAGTGGGATGTAATCTACACTAAAACCATAAAACTTGGTCTCAAATGCACAGTATTCATTATAAAGGGAGATATTATTTATGAGACAAAAACCCTACTCCTTTAAGTATTTAAAATGCTATCTAATCTAATTTGGTTTAAAATATTTAACTATTTAACTTAAAAAAAAAAATCAGACTGTTTCTGAAAAAAGTCAAGAGGAGGTGATAGCTGAAGTTATAAGAGCCTCAGTGATTTATCATAGCAAATTACAGATACTCTCTTCAAAAGAAGCTGTCGTTATACATAGACAGCTAAACAGATCATTGCAACACTGCTCTATTCAGAATCCTCTTCATATGAGTTATGCATCCATGAGGCTGAATTAATCATATGGTGATCCATGCCTATTAGTAAGGTTAACTACAACTGGATCAACTGTACTACATAATATTCACTTTGCTCAAAAGAATAATCTCAGGTGTAAAGAAACACTCAAAGTCTGTCCAATTTTAGTTGACTATGAAATGCAACAACATAACTGTAAATATGAAAAAACTCTTACTTTCCCAAGTTCTCCACATGGCCAAGGCAAGTGGAAAAACAGTAGTTGTATGCAATCACAATAGAAGGATACAGTGACTGGAAATCCAAAACAAGAACAGAGTTGCTATAGAAACGGGATTCAGGCTCCATAATTAGGGGAACACACTGCGGGGCTCTCATTTGGGATCTCTGTTGGACACTGGGTGTCACAGGAATATAGTTCATTGGTTTAGCAATACGTAACATCATTGATTCCACGCGGTACTGAAGGGAGGAATGAGGAGGTGAAAAAAGAGACATACTTTAAATACTAAATATTATTGGTCATTTGAATATGTGACATTCAAATACTGAAGGAAAATTGAATTCTTACCTGTGAACCCCTTGTCAGTACATGTAAAAACTGAATGCCAAAAAGTCTAGCCATCTCACTGGTTTTCCCAATCAGGTCCAGCTGTTCTAACATTTGGAGATTTCCACGGACACGGCTAACATAATGATCAACCATTTTCCATCTGTTAAAAGAACAATCCATGTTATGAACACAGGGGAAAAAGCTGGCTACTTGAAAGCAGGACTGTTCTCATTCTGCCACAACCCTACATATTAAAGTAAGAGTACTTAAGGAGATGGGAGTAATGATATGTGAACCCTTAGGCAAAGTGAATACTAAGGAGTTAAAAATTTTTAAACTGTAAGTATTTCAAGATTTTAAAGTCCAGTAAAAATGTGCAAAACTTAAAACAGTATTTGTGATAAGGTGGTAAGAAAATCAAGAAATCTTTAAAACAAAAACAAAAACGGGAGTAAATGGTTATTTACATGAAAAAAATCGTACCACACAAAAATTAGTTCAATGAATCATATTCCTAAATATAAAGGCTAAAATAATAACATTTCTAGAAGAAAACATTTGGAAAAAGATCTTTGCAACCCTGGGGTACGCAAAGACTTCTTAGAAAAGATACAAACATCAGTCACTAAACTTAAAAACTGATAAAATGGGTTTCATCAAGATTATAACCTTCAGCTCTGTAACTGACATTACAAAAAGCAAAGGCAAGCCACGATCTGGGAACATACATACATCTGACTGACAGTATACCCAGAATAGACCTACGCCTCACTTATCCACTACCTTATTATTCGACAGTTCACATCTATAGCAACAGTAAAAACTCCACTGAGTATTTTGCACTTAACAACATACACCTGGCAGTTGCAAATGCTGAGGTGTGAGACAGTGTAATGCTGGCTGTGATGGTAAAGGTTATATGTCAGCTTGGCATGGCCATGGCAGTTATGTAAGTGATGTAGCCATCCTCTAGTTTCGCAATTTATGCATAACTACCTGATCTATAGAACCTAACCATGTCAATAAGTGAGGAGAGGGTTACATAGAAAGAAGTCTTACAAACAACCCAATTTAAAATGGGCTAAACACTTCAACAGACATTTCACAGAAGATGATATTTTAATGGACAATAAGCACATTATAAGATTTTCATTAGTTATTGTTGTGTCGCATTGAGTCAGTTCCGACTCATAGCAACCCTGTTTCCAAGGAGTGCCTGTGAGTTTGAATCACCGACCTTGCAGTTCAAACCAACCTGGAGGTCGAGTGCTTATCCTACAGAGTCACACCAGGACTCCCATTAGTTATTAGAGGAATGCAAATAAAACATAGTGAAATACCACTTCATACCCACTTGCTGTTGTTAAGTGTCTTCGAGTCGGTTCCGACCCATAGTGGCCCTGTATAGGGTTTCCAAGGAGAAGCTGCGGAGTTTGAACTGCTGACCTTACGGTTCAAACAGACTTTGCAGTCCAGCGCATTAACCCACAGTGCCAAATCAGGACTTAAAATGGTTCAAATTAAAAAGGCAGAAAATACTTAGTGTTAGGGACAACTGTCATTCTCATACATTTCTATGGGAAGGTAAAATGATACAGTAACTTTAAAATAGTTTGACAGTTTTTTTAAAAAAAGTTAACACACACTAACATGTGACCTGGAAATTCCACTCCTAGGAATTTACCCCAGAAAAATGAAAATGTATGTCCACACAAAGACTTGTATACACTTTTTTTTTCTTAGTTTTTTCCTAATTGCCTTAAACTAGAAACAGCAAATATCAATTGATCAGTAGACAAATTGTGGCACATTCATATAATTTAGCACTGTTGTTATTGTTAAGTGCTGTTGAGTCAGTTCTGACTCAAACCGACTCTGTAGAAGGTTTTCAAGGAGCAGTGGGTGGGTTTGAACTGCCGACCTTGAGGTCCAACCAAACCTTGTGGTCCAGTGCTTTACCCTAACAAACTACTAATTTATACAACATGGTTGAATCTTGAAAAAATTATGTTAACTATCTTAAAATAAGTCAGCTACATAAGGCTACATTATGAATAATTCCATCTGTATGACATTTTAGAATTGCCAAAACGAACCTATAGCAATACAAATCTAATTAGTACTGACCTGGGTGGTTAGGAGATGGGTAGGTTGACTGTGAAACTTTACAAGGAAACTTTCTGGGTGTTTGAAATGGTTACAGAACACATTACATTTTTCAAAGCCATCAAAAATATACTTAAGATGTGCACATTTAATATATGTTCGACGGCACTTAACAATAAATACTCCAACTATGTTGATTTTAAAAAAGAGAGATCTTCTTTGAAGTTTTAAAACATTACCTGTACAGATCTGTCTTGTTATCAAACCAATCTGACAAGACCCGAAAGGTAAAGAGGGGAAAACGCTGATGAAGAACATGAAAGCTCACATTTTCAAAGGTGTAGTTAGTAAGAGACACCTAAAAAAAACCAACAAGATACCTTTATAATAATGCTTGTTTTATAAGCAAAAAATTTGATTCAAAGAGATAGCAAAGATGACTTAAACTTTTCATGGTAAGTACTAAAGATCTACATGTACATGATTTGGGTTACAAATGAATCATAATGAACATAAAACTATATACAAGCAGTTCAGGTTAAGAACATCTGAGAACAGTGGTTACAGATAACTCCCACTTTTCTTTAATATTAGGTAAATTTGGCTTTTGAAAAGACTGAATCAACCCATTCTTGCAACAAATTACTCATCATAATTACCTTCACCTACTGTAAGTCTTTTCCTGCTCTAAAATAGTGCCTTTATTCTGACTTACCCAGAAATTCTTAAAAACACAGAAATGGATCTCATTCAGATCCTGGGGGACTGTCTGTATGGTTTACTGGACAGAAATATTCATAACAATATTGAACTGGAGAAAAAAATCAGATTTGATGAGATCCAACTTGGTTACTTAATACTTATTTTAAGAGATCCCAGTTCTTATCACTTCTTTTTAGTAATGGCAATACATATACTGATAGACATAAGCATTGTTAAGCAAATTGGCCTTTGATGATATGCTGATTCGTAAGATTCCATAGGATGAGCTATTTTAGTTAAGGCATGCATTCACCCTGTTCCATGAATTACATTAGTACTAAGACTCAATAAAGACTCCTACTAGGGCGTATAACGTCAATAATGGACTGTGAACCACAAAGTCAGCAGTTCAAACTCACCAGCTGCTCCTTGGAAACCCTATATGGGGTTACTATGAGTCGGAACTGATTCGATGGTACTTAACAATGACACCCAATAAACACTATGGCATTATGGAGCCACTTAATTCCATTCCAAGTAAAAGTTGAAAAGGGAAGAAATCTTTCCCTACCTTCAATATATAGGCAAATGTTTCATTAGTGGGAAAGTAATACTGAAAAAGGGTCCAAATTCATAAAACATACCTCTAGCTAGATGCTCTTTCAGAAATACCTACAAGACACAGCAATCTAAACAATGGCGAGTATTTTAATGCAAAATGGAAATCTCGGAACCAGCAGACCCCATTCTTCAACCAGTTTAGGATTTTAATAGTTCAAATAGTACTTAATATTGCCATCTTATTTTATATTTTAAAAAATAAATTATTTCCACATCTAAAATTTGGGGAAATATAAAGCAAGATAGAATGTTAGGCTTATTTCAGTGCAATGGCCCAAGCTAGGGTTCACGTTGGCTATAATTTCTGTCAATCTCCATAATGACATCATTGGAATGCAGGATACTTCATGATTATTTTGGAGAAAGGCTAGTATAACCAACACATTCCTGTCCTTTACTAATACAATAGGAAAGACATCGATATTTATAATTACATACTTCAAGTAGAATTAAACTTTTAGAAGGGAGATAATACATCATTTCTTTTTCATATTTTAAGAAAAGGTTAGAGTATTCATTCAAATGTTGTTAAGTGGCAGTCCAGTGCCATTAACCCACAGTGCCACACCAGGACCCTTAAATTTAGGTAATTTTAGAGTAAATATTAGGAACTGAAGACTCTTAGATACACAAGTCATTTTAATAACATAATTTCTCTACTTTGTTGCACTTTTACTATCAACCTGCTTTATGTCTGCTTTGTCAATAGGGTGTGTGTGTGCTTACATAAACACACACATATAAAGCAAGTGGCTTGGAACAGAAAACTTATCTGCTCTGTAAACTTTCACCCAGTTCACAATAAAACATTAAAACAACAACAAAACCCATATGCATTTAAGTTGCTAAATTTTAAGAAGGCTTTTCCTTACAGGATTAAACACACATATGTATTCCCATAAAATTAAAGGGTTGAATAAACAGCAACCAGATGAGGTAAAATGGCAACAAACTTAGATGAGGAGGAACTGTAAGATTAATGACTAACAATGCCAACAGCAGAATGAAACCAACATTCAAGGCAGTAAGCAGCAGAGCAGTTCCTACTGAAAATCAAGTTAGTGATGTGAGTAGTAGGCCTAAATGGCTCTCAGAATGCAGATACAGAGGACAGAGATGAAATGATGAGGGAGAATATAGGGAAGAGTTAATACACAGATGATCATGTTCTTGATTGAAAGTCTAACAAATGGGACAGAAGCAGTAACTAGAGCTATTAAGAGCCAGCCTTGCAATTTCTCCTCTGTACTTCCAAATTCACCAAGTGAATGGAGCTAAATGGAACTAAGGTATAAAGCTTTAAAGAAAAAAAGATGGTTATTACCCCCAACATTTATCACCCAATTAACACGATTTATATAAGAAGAAAATAAAGGTATTCCTTGAACTCCTTTCTTCCAACAACTTTGTCATCCATTCACATTAACTACCTACTTCCACTATCCTACCCCAGGATCTATTATCAGTAATGTACCAGCTCTATAATCTCATGTATCCCACTCTTTATGATCACTAGCTTATATCCTTCCAGCTCCTTCCTTCCAGTGCAGTTAATCTTTCTTTGTTCATAGAGCTGAAATTCCACAATCATAATCATTCCCTAGTCTACATCCTTAATTTCTTTGTCTCTCTCTCCTGGTTATTCTTCTTCCTTTTTTTTTTTTTTCTCAAATGAAGTCATAACCCTTTTACTTGTGAGTTGTTGACAAGTACCATGGAGTTGGTTCTGACTTACAGTGCTCCTGCACAGGGTTTCCAACGCTGTAAATCTTTATGGGAGCAGAATGCCTCATCTTTCTCCCATGGAACCGCTGGTAGTTTTGAACTGCTGACCTTGAAGTTGCCAGCCCGACTCATAACCACTACGCTACCATAGCTCCTTACTTGTGAGTAGTGGTCAAAAATCTAATGTTTTCAGTCTATACCTGCACCTGTGAATTTCATCATACACCAAGAAAGCAAAAGATGATTAAATACACAAGAGAGAAAGAAAAGACCAAAATTGATATAAGAGATGCTGAAACTTGTTCTTGAGTGTAGAGAACCTCCAGTATATGGAAGAAATGAGGAAGTAAACAAGCTGAACAGAAAATTTCAAGGGGCATCTTGAGAATATAAAGTCAATTATAATGAAATGTGCAAGGATTTGGAGTGAGAAAAGCAAAAGGGCAAAACATGCTCAGCATTTCTCAAGCTGAAGGAACTTATCAGAGTATTCAAGAATCAGGATGCAATACTGGAGGATTTGATAGGCAAAATACTGAATGATGCAAAAAGCATCAAGAGAAGATGGAAGGAATACACATTCACTGTAACTAAAGAAATGGTTGATATACAACCTTTTCAAGAGGTAGCATATAATTAAGAACCAATGGTAGTGAAGGAAGAAGTCCAAGCTGCACTCTAGTCACTTCTGAAAAACAAGACTCCAGGAATCCATGGAATAATACAAAGTGACATATTTCAACAAATGGATGAAGCACTGGAGGTGCTCACTCATCTATGCTAAGAAATTTGGAAGTTACTAGCTGATGTGGAAGAAATCCACATCTGGGTGCATTCTAAAAAGAGGTGACCAAATGGAATGAGAACATCATCAAACAGTATAATGAATATTAATACATAACATGCAAGTAAAATTTTGCTGAAAATAACTTAAAAATGGTTCCTACAGTACATAGATAGGGAACTGCCAGAAATTGAAGCCAGATTCAGAAGAGAACATGGAACTAGGGATATCTTTGCTGACATTAGATGGACTGGTTGAAAGCAGAGAATACCAGAAAGATGTTTATTTGTGCTTTATTAACTACACAAAGGCTTTCTACTGTGTGAATCATGACAAACTATGGATAATGTTGCAAAGAATGGGTATTCCAGAATACTTAATTATGCTCATGAAGAACTTGCACACAGACTAAGAGGCAGCTGTTAAAACAGAACAAGGGTTTAAAATCAGCAAAGGCATGTGCCAAGAGTGTATTATTTCACTGTACTTATTCAATCTGCATGCTGAGCAAATAATTTGAGAAACTGGAATATATGAAAAACAATGTGGCATCAGGATTGGAGGAAGACTCAGTAACAACTTCTGATATGTAGATGACACAAACTTGCTTGCTGAAAGCAATAACCGTGGCCGTTTCCTGCTCAGTTTCAGACACAGTGGCAACATTGGTGAACAAGAGCAGACATGGTGTTACCACACATATACTGCAGGTCTCCAGACTGGGGCCTTTCTCACGAATATCCTCTTTCTCCCACACAAACCAACTTACTGATGACGATAAAAGACTACAGACTTCAGTATGTATTGTACTTCATTGTAAAGAAAACAAAAATCCTCACAACTGGACCAATAAAATAACATCATGATAAATAGAGAAAAGACTGAAGTTGTCAAACACTTCATTTTACTTGGATCCACAATCAACACTCATGGAACGAGAAGTCAAGAAATCAAATGACATATTGTATTAAGCAAATCGGCTGCACAAGACCTCTTTAAAGTAAGTCATGATATTTTCAATAGCCTAGTATGCGTGTAAAAGTTGGACAATGAATAAGGAAGACCATAGAAGAACTGATGAATTTGAGGTACAGTGTTAGAAAAGAATATTAAAAAATATTATGGACTGCCAGCAGAACAAACAAATCTGTGTTGTGAAGAAGTACAGCCAGAATGCTCCTTAGATGCCAGAATGCTGAGACTTCATCTCTCATACTGAAGACATGTTATCAGGAGGGACTGGGCCCTAGATAGATCATGCTTGGTAAAGTAGAGGATCAGCAAAAAAGAGGTTAATCTTCAGTGAGATGGATTGGCACACTGGCAGTACAGAGTTCAACAAAACAACAATTGTGAGGATGGCAACACTCCATTATGTTATGTATAGGGTTGCTATGAGTCAAAACTGACTTGATGGCATCTAACAACAAATCTGTGAATTTGAGTGTAGCTGGCAGTTAGCACTTTAATTTTCTGATGTAACTGCTTCCTCCCCAGCTTTTATACCATATCGTCTTACTTATACACTTTGAAATTCTTCTAGATGATAATTTCACACTCATCTTTTCTCCTCAAAACCCCAAATTTCCCTGAGAAAACTGAAGCAACCAGAACAGAACTTTCAGATTCCTGTACCCAGCACCAACCTACCTTTCAACATCTGCAATGCCATCTTACCCATTTATTCTGCCACCCTGTTAACATATATGGGCCAGTTATATTCTTACTTTATCTAAAGTTTAAGAATTTGTACACAAGTTATGTACTCAATAAATATTTTTTCAGTTGAATCAAGTCTGTTTCCAACCCACTTAGTAAATTATTGAAAGACCTAGGCTAAGTTGTATTTTGAACATAAGAAAAGGATGAAATTAATATTAAAAAATTTATTATCATGTTTATATGCTTAATTTATGTGTTCATCCCAGGCAATATCAGAGGCTGCAGTTTAAAGTATTTAATGGAATATATAATCCAAATACACTCACCATTTCTGCATCTTCCATATAATATGGTTTGTGACTAGGAATTATTTTCAAGTCACAGGGACAGTGTTCTGATAATATTTTAAGAAGAAAACAACAAACAACAGAATAAAATTATCCTCTCCTCTGATACTCTCTTCACTCAGGCAGATTCATATATACCTCCAAATGAAATGAAATGTGAGTATAACTTCAAGCTCATGGCGCAGAAAGGAAATAAATCTAGAAATACCGACTGTTACTAGTCTGATAGAATTATTGTGTGTAGTACCCAAAAGAATTGCAGTGTACATGCTTGGAAAGTCACATGCTTTACATAAATCCAGAAGAGACAGAAAGATCAAAGGAAACAATATACAGTGAGAAGTAGTTGTAAAGAGAAGCAACTGAAGAATAGAGCTTTCTTCTAAATAGAAACATTTTAGCTAATATTATCAAGTGTCTAAATCTGAGATCAATTCATAGTAGATATTTTGTCTTTCAATACGAGAAATTAAACTATTTGAAGGATATAAATATTGTATTTTGACTATTACAACACTTTTCCTAGACTGCTATGGTCTTACAGTTTAGGTGAAAGGTATTGCTTTAACTGATAAAGTTGGTTGAGGTTTACACTACCAAAATCCTTGAGACCTCAGAGCATCAACTGTTGTTGTTAAGTGACACTGAGTCAGTTCCGACTCACAGTGATCCTGAGTAGGATTTCTGAGGTGTGGTTGGTAGTTTTGAACCACCAAACTTGTGGTTCACACTGATCTTGCAGTCCAGCGCATTATCCTGCAGTGCCACATCAGGACTCCACGGAACATCAATTTAGTTGTTGCTATTACCATTTTCAATTTAACTGATTATTGTTGTTATTGTTAAGTACTGTTGAGACGGTTTTGACTCAGAGCGAGCCTGTATAATAGGGTTTCTGAGGAGCGGCTGGTGAGCTTGAACAGCTGACCCTGCAGTCCAGTGCATAACCCACAGTGCCACACCAGGACTCAATTTATCTGATTAGTCTCACCCAATACATAAAAATCTTTCATTCAAAAGTTCTTTTTATAACAAGTCAATAAGGCCAAACTGGATTTATCTCACTGTTTAAGTGCAAGAACGATCCAGTTATATTAATATTCAGCATGCAACTGTAGACTTTTATAATTATTACTACCTGACACAAATTTAAAAAAAGTCTTTACATTTAAAAACTAGTATTTATTTTTGAAACTACTTAAGTTTATTAAAATAACTCACAGAAAATAATTGCATAGTGCAAAAAAGTGTGTGGAAGCAATGTCTGCACTCCTATGACTTCACCAAGGGGAAGGAGATTCAAACTCAACATTTCTACAAGGCAGAGGTGAGACATGCACCGACCCTCTTTCTTCCTTTTCCAATTCTGACACCAATGTCCATCTTTGTACTTCTCTACAGGGTTCAATTAATTCATAGTAATGGCCACACAAAAGGCATAGATAATGTTTATGATTATGGGTTTTATTAGGGAAGTTAACCAGGTATAACTCTTTTTTTTTTTTTTTTTCAGGTATAACTCTTAAGACACAATTCTTTGGTCAGGAGAGCTTATTCCCAGCCAATCCCACAGGCCTCTCAGTCACATGGACCTTTGGCCTCTGATCAGCTCAGATAATGTTATAATGCTTTTTTAGAGATGCCAATAAAGGCCCAAAGCATAAGCCTCAGGCTGAAGGTGCTCAGTTCTAGTTTTGTAGGTCACCATACCTGGCTTTGTCAATTATGTCCTACTCCATGAGAAAGTCTCATACTTGAAGGCACTCTGCTTTACTCACTCAGTGAGTCAGGAAGCCTACCACTGTCTCATGCTCTGGCTCTTAGTTCTGATACTGCCGCTCCTCTGGTATCAGTTTTATGTCTCTGAATTGAGGAAGTTCAATGCACAGGGATCTCAGGGGCCAAAGGATACACTTCATTCCTTACTATCTTTTTTATGGTAGTGAGATTCAACTGCTTCTGAGATGGATCACTTTTTATCCAGCAGGATGGCCAAAACTGACTGGTGCCTATGTCAGAGTTCCAAGTTTTTATAATCACAGTTAACTCTATTAACAATCATTCACAAATGAATCATACAATTCTGCCAGCATCTTCTCTCATCTGCTCTTACCCAGACCCATCATGAAAAAAGGATATACACCCCATCTGCATGATCCTACCAAAGTCAAATATTACAATGAAATGTGCAAAGATTTGGAATGAGTAAACCAAAAGGGAAGAACATACCCGGTATTTCTCAAGCTGAAGTAACTGAAGAAAAATTCAAGCCTTGACTATTGTTATTGAAGGATTCTCTGGGCAAAATATTGAATGATGCAGAGAGCATCAAAGAAGATGCAAGGAATACTCAGAGTCTCTGTACCAAAAAGAAATGGTTGATGTTCAACCATTTCAAATGGTAGCATATGATCAAGAGCCAATGATTCTGAAGGAAGAAGTCCAAGGTACATTGAAGGCATTGGCAAAGAATAAGGCAGTGGGAATAGAAGGAATACAAATTGAAAACTTTCAACAAATTGATGCAGCACTGGAGACATTCACTCATATATGTCAAGAAATTTAGAAGACAACTACCTGGCTTACTGACTGGCAGATATTAGTTTCTGTGCTCGTTCCAAAGAGAGATAACTGGACGGAATGCAGAAATTATCAGGCAATATCATTGCTATCCCATATTAGTAGAGTTTTGCTAAAGCTAATACAAAAATGGCTGCAAGCATACATTAACAGAGAACTTCTATAGGTTGAAGCTGGATTCTGAAGAGGACACAGAAGTAGGGATATCATTGCTGACATCAGATGGCTCTTGGCTGAAAGCTGAGAATATCAGAAAGATACTTACTTTATTGACCACTCAAAGCCTTTCAATTGTGTGTATCATGACAAGCTATGGACAACACTGCAAAGAATGAGTATTCCAGAACACATAATTGTGCTCATGAGGAACCTGTACATAGACCAATGGCAGTTGTTCGAACAGAGTAAGAAACGCTGAATGGTTTAAGATTAGGAAAGGTGTATGCCAGGGTTGTATTCATTCAGCATACTTATTCAATCTGTATGCTGAGCAAATAATCTGAGCAGCTGGATTATATATGAAGAACAACATGGCATCAGGATTGGAGGCAAACTCATTAACAACCTGCAATATGTAGATGATATAACTTTCTTTGCTTAACGTGAAGAGGACTTAAAATACTAACTGATGAAGATCAAAGAACATAGTTATCGGTATGGGTTACATCTTAATGTAATGAAAACGAAAATTCTCACCACTGAACCAATAAACAACATCCATATAAATGAAGAAAAGACTGAAGTTGTTAAAGACGTCATTCTGTTGTGATCAACCATCAATACTCATGGAAGCAGCAGTCAAGAAATCAAACAATGTATTACATTAGGCAAATCTACACAAGACCTCTTTAGAGTGTTGAAGAGCAAAGATGTCATCTTGAGGACTAAGGTGTACCCAACCTAAGCCATGGTATTTTGAATAACCTCATATGCATGTGAAAGTTGGACAGTGAATAAGGAAGACTGTAGAAGAATTGATGCATTTGAGTTATGGTTTTGGAGGAGAATATTTGAAAGTGCCATGGACTGCCAACATCTGTGTTAGAGAAGTACAACCAGAGTGCTCCATGGAAGCCAGGATGGCAAGACTTCGTCTCTCATATTTCAGATATATTATCAGGAAGGACTAGTCATTGGAGAAGGATTATCATGTTTGGTAAAGTGGAGGGTTGGAGAAAAAAAAGTAGACCCCTAATGAGATGGACTGGCACAGTGGCAGCAGCAGTGGGCTCAGGTGTAGCAACAATTGTGAGGTTGGCCCAGGACCGGGTAGTGTTTTTTGTTCTGTCATGCATAGGGTCACTCTGAGTCTGTACTGACTTCATGGCACCTAACTACAACCAGGTATTTTGGTAGAAATTACAAAAACTCTGGCTGTTGTTGTTAAGGGTCGTCGAGTTGATCCCAACTCATAGAGACCCTGTATAGGGTATCCGAACAGCAACTGGTGGGTTTGAACTGCCAACCTTGTGGCTCACAGTTTAGTGCCACACCAGAAGTCCTCAAAATAAAACTATGGCTTGAAGAGCAATATTAAGCAATTCAAAGCACTGCTCAATAGTAAGTAGTATTAATACTCCATGGTGGTTGGTTGGTTGTGTGCAGTCGAGTTAGTTCCAACTCATAGTGAGCCTGTATGGGGTTTCTATGGGAGCAGAAAGCCTCATATTTTTCCCATGGAATGAGTGATGTATTTGAACTGCTAACTTCGTGGTTAGTAGCTTAACTTGTAATCCACTACACTACACAGGGCTCTCAGTAGAGAATAAAGCTGTTAATATTTTTCTAACTTCTAATTTCTAAATAAAATACTAGCTAAAACACCTTACCTCATTTCTCATGATTCTCCAAAGATTTAGTGTAATTCGGCCAACGATATTTATCTCACTCATTGTATCTGATCCATACTCATCTCTTTCAGCTGCAAATCTGTTCTCAATTTTGTCGTCTATGGAAATTAATATAGATAGCATCAGGGCTCAGAGAAAACAATTTTCCAAGCACATTGTGACAGAGAAAATGCAAATAATAAAAGTAAAAGATGAAATGCAACTCACAATCTAGTTTGTACTAGAATTCTAGAGGTAAGTCATATATTTTTTTTCATTTTTAAATTAATGAAGTGGTTTTGTGAAATAAATTGTATTTTTCACAATCAATCCTTTCAACCTAAAAAGGTGTGGCACTTTGAGTTAATGTGCTGGACTGCAAGGTCAGTTTGAACTGCAAGGATGGTAGTTCAAGGTTACCAGCCACTCCTTGGAAACTCCAGGGTCACTATGAGTTGGAAGCGACCTAAAGGCACTTAACAACAACAAAACAATTCTCTTAACTGCATATGGAGAACTAACTGAAATATACCTCTTTTTTAGCAATTAGAGTTCTGTGCCTAGTTTTTAAAAGTGAGAATGGTTTTACCTAAAATAGAAATTAAAACACGTTTCTCCTATATAACACTTCCATTGCTGTTGAATTGACTGACTGAATAGTAATCTACATGTTAGTCATTTCCTTGATAAGAAATTTATCTCACTAGGTTGTTGTTAAGTGCTGGCGAGTCACTTCTGACTCACAGTGACCGTGTACAGGGTTTCCAAAAAAGTGGCTATTTGAGTTTGAAATGCTACCAGAGTCATATCAGGATTCCTCTCTCTATATATACACATGTATGTTCCACCGGTTTTGCTTGTTTCAAAAATCCAGTCTAAGATAACAGTTTCTACATTTACAATTCAGTGACATTAATTATATTGAGTTGTACAACCACTTTCACGCTCCTGAGTTGCTTCTCCCCCCAATAACATAAACTCACTGCTCCCTAAGCTTTTATCAATTTTTCCCCTTTCCCTAAGCTAAACTATTGTGTAGTTTTAAGTAGACTATAGGGGGATATTTCTGGTTGAAGATTATTTCAGTCCAATAGGTGTTCATCCAGTCTCTATGTCTCCATAAAGTCTGGTGTCATGGAAATTTTATATTCTGTTCTACATTTCCCCCTTATGATCAGTATTCCTCCATAGACTCTCCCTTTTCAATTAAAGCTTTTGCAAAGCTCAAAATATTTATTGTACTTGAATCTTCTAGTTTGAATTTTTCCCCTTAAATTTGCCAACACATAAGACATTTTAGTGAAGTCATAACCTCTCCTAGGTGGTCTTTTGATTAGTTTGTATTTGGTCTTTTATGCTCTAAAGTACATGCTAGTTTGCTTTAGTCAGACTTGTGGCGAATCTTTGAAACAAATTTATTGAAAGTTCTGAAGTGATAAAACATAATTTGAAAAAAATTAATAAACTGCAAAGAACTTTTAGTATACTGCTGTTCTTGGTTCCAACTCATAATGACCCTATGTACAACAGAACTGTACTGTCAGTCCTGCGCCTTCCTCACAATTGTTCCTGTGTTTTCAACACACACCTGTGTGAAGCCTTCAAAAAGTTAATAGAAAAACAGAATTAAAAGAGAATAAAATTTTTCCAAAACCTTTTTGAAGTCCCCGCAAATACACATGTGTATGTATGTTCATGCATGCATGTATACACACTGGTAGCACAAGATTAAGTGCTTGTCTAAAAAGTTGGCAGTATAAACCCATCAGCTGTTCTGTAGGAGAAAGATGTAGCAGTCTGCTTCTGTAAAGATTTACAGCCTTGGAAACCCTATGGGCAGTTCTACTGTATCTTCTAGTGTTGCTTGCGATGAGTCAGAATTGATTCAATGGGATAAAATTTTTTTGTTTAGTTTTACTGTATCACCCTATATATGACTATTTAAAATGACTGAACTGAAAATAACAATTATCATTATTTAGCATTAAGATGGGGAATTTTTTTCTTTTACTTTTCTTTTTCTATGTTTCTATAATGGAGTTATAGCAGATCTAGAACTTATAAAATTTAGCATTAAAATTATTTTTGTTGTTATGAGCTGTCAAGTCAGTTCCAATTCATAGCAACCCTGCAGAGGGTTTCTGACGAGCAACTGGTGGGTCTGAACCACCAACCTTGCAGTTAGCAGTCCAATGCTTATCCTACAATGTCAAAACAAACCATGATTAAAAATTAGGCTAAAACAATAGTACTTTATATTTTATAATTTACTCTGTAGTTGAACCACAAATCATGCAAAATGATACATACATACCTGGCACCCGGGAAATCATGTGACATAAGTCAACACTTAAGGCAGCAGCTCTTTGTAAGAGGTAACCCCATGAATGCATCTGAATCTCATATCCTAGCAGAATATCAGGATCATACCTAAAGAAGGAATAAAAAACCTGAGCAAGAACCACACATTTAAACCTTTAGTCAAAAGAATTGTTCCTTCATTATATTAAGTACAAAAATAAAAATTGATATTTCATAATACTTCCCAGGTGGAGAAGGAATGACACAGGATTATCTATAGAATTTCTATATAGTAAAGAATTTGTAGGAACAGTAAGAAGGAAGGGGTGAAAAAAATCAGGATATATAATTTTAAGCTACTTTTGGAAACAAGTAGTAGTTAGATGGTATAATTGATATAGCGTGAAAAAGAGGTGGATGGAAATTAGGGCAGAGGTACATCACCACCACTGTTGCATGTTGTTGTTGTTCGGTACTATCAAGTTGGTTCTGACTCATAGCAACTCTATGCCCAACAGAATGAAACACTGCCTGGTCTTGGGCCATCTCAGCATTGTTCTTATGTTTGAGCCCATTGTTGCTGTCATTCCATTTCATTGTGGGGGCGTCTTCCTCTTTTTCACTGACCGTCTAACTTACCAAGCATGGTGTCCTTCTCTACAGGGACTAGTCCCTCCTAACATGTTCAAAGAACGACACACAAAGTCTCGCCGTCTTCACTTCTAAGGGTCATTCTGGCTGTACTTTCAAGACAGATTTGTTTGTTCTTCTGGCAGTCTATGATACTTTTGATATTGTTCTCCAACATCATAATTCAAATGCATCAATTCTTCTAAGTTCTCCTTTTCGTTGTCCAACTTTCAAACTCATGTGAGGCTTGGGTCAGGTATACCGTAGTCATCAAACTAACATCTTTAGTCTTGAATACTCTAAAGTCTTCTGCAGCAGATTTTCCTAATGCATGAAGTCATTTGTGTTCTTGACTTCTGCTTCTATGAGCACTGATTGTGGACTCAAGCAAAATGAATTATTTGACCACGTCTATCTTTTAAGCTGGGTTCTATGAAGAAAAACGTGGCGTCAGGATTGGAGGAAG